AATTATTTGTTTTTGGTGTCTTCCAATTTGTTATTATACTTTTTTAATATAATTAAGTATTTTAAAAAGAAAAATGCTATAGACATAGGTTGTACATAACACTCACATTAAGTGGGTCCTATCAAAAATAAAAAATCAAGTAGACCCCACTCCATGTGAATGTTATGTACATCTTTATATACATTTATTATGTACTTGTAGCATTTTTTTTAAAAAAAAATTACACTACGCAACACTTAGACACCCCAATTTTAATATAAGTGGTTGTTCTAATAGTTCGAGCAATTAGGCGTTTAAGCAAGCTTGAACGGTTTAGATAACAGCAAAGTTAGCAACGGTTGGATTGACGAACGTGTAGCGTATTTCAAAACATTGATAAAATCACAAATTAAAAAATAAAATATCATACTTTTATTAAATTATAACTACCATATTATTTATTCTCGTTGTTTTATGCATTTATTTTTCTTCTCTTTCTTTTCTTTAGTTCTTACAAAATATGAGCCATAATTCTAAGGTTGTAAATTATGCAGACATTATTATGCTCCACGATATGACACGCATCATACAGGCTAGGCACTGTTAGAATTTCAGTTGTCTTTTTCCAGTTTGTACTCTGTTTGGACTAATTACAAAAGAAAAAAATTCAATTTCCCTCCACAAACTAATAATTAAAAGGAATTGACAAATTGACTTTACTTGATCCTGATAAATACAATAAAAGTATATATTTAAATTAAAGTAGCATTTTTTGGGAGAAGTGATTGACATAATTATTAATATCACCTATGCAGATGAAGGTCCTGACTATTACCGTCATTATATTCCTAAACTGATTTAGAGGGATTATAGTTATGTATCGAATAGCCCGTTAGCTATGAAATTTATTGGTCCAGTGTAATATGCATAAAATTAGTAAGATTATTGTTAGATGGACTTAATCTTTAGATAATTGTTTCATAAATAATTGACATTTTAAAAAATAATATAAATAAAAGTAATTATATTTTACAATAGACGTATCATTTAAAAAAATGATGGGTCGAATGCATGCGATTATATAATTTTAAATAATTTTTGGTATGTAAATGTGTTGTCTAATAGTTTTGTTGTAGTTTGATCATACACTAGTAAATGATGGGTCGAAGATTGTGGGTTTTTTGTTGGAGAAGTTTGACCATTNCTTTGAAAAGCAATTCGGGTGGTTGGAATTAAGCTATTTTTCGGTGATGAGAATCATTATACAAAACAGAAAGAGAAAAGAAGTTTGGGGAAAATAGAAAAATATGCACACACTCAGATTTTATCTCGTTTTAGTAATTTTTGGGTAGGGAAACTCATCTTTTTTCTAGTTATGTAATTATAAATAAATATTCTATACTTATACCCGACACTACAAAAAATTAAGTTCATCTTTAATACTATAAAAGACACTCTTTTGGGTTATAATTATTTAAGAAAGATAAATACTCTAAAAGAAAGACTTAGCCCGACACTACAAAAAAATTATTATATTCCAACGGAAAATTCTATGTAATATATTCCAATAGAAATTTCAACGGATATTCCAATGATATAGTTTCCGTTGGAATGTGTTTTTCATTAGAATTTTAGATGAAATTTAATGATTCCAACGACTATATTTCCAACTGCTTTTTACAGTAGGAATTTCCGTTCGAATATGTAATTTATGTTGAAATTTTTATTTTCACTCCCGTTAGAAAATCTACAGTTGGAATCGTCAAAATCCAACGAAAATTCCAATAGAAAACTCGTTCCAACGGAATATTTTTGTTGGAATTTTCGGTGGAATCTATTGAAAAATTCCAACTGAAATAGTATCATTGAAAAATATTCATTGAAATTCTATTTGAATATATTTCCGTTGGAATTTCATCATTTTCTTGTAGTGAGAAAGAGTGAATTAGTCTACTATATTGAATGTAGCATACTCCAATATATTCAAATTTATATCACTTAAGGTGATACCAAATTGAATAATATATATGATTCAACATTATTGGTCTATAATAGTTTTTGGACCGACCAAAGCATCTCATGCCCTTGCATCAATTTTCAATTTTGTCATGTCATGTAATCTCAAAATCTTAATTGATGTATTGTAGGCTATAGAGTTTCCCATCTTGTGCTTGAATCCAATTACAACTAGGGTTTTTCTTTTCTTGTGAAATCACTTCTCAATTCTATTGATATGTGAAACATCTCATCCAACTTTGTTGATGAGTTGATATATAAGGCCACAATTGTCTTGTCTACTTTGTTGTTGAACTATCATATATATCCCATCACAACTGATTAGGACATTTTACTAATTTTCACTCACTATATGTGTAATCCATTAGTGTGTTGGTGCAACTTAGTTTGCATATGTGAAATTGAAAGATAAAGGGTCAATTTCCCACTTCATATGTATAGAAAAACGGCTTAATTAAAAAATATAGAAAACAGAGGCCTTTCAGATTGTGATTGAAAATCAATTTCTAAACTTCCAATCTTGATCCTAATGTTTCTTAATACGATTAATTGCCCGCATAACTAGAAAATTTTAGAACAAAAAAAAAGTTTAATGTTAATCTAATATATGGAATTCACATTTTAATGCTCTAGCCTTTAGACAAGAAAAGTGGCTTGAGAACATTAAGGGCATGCTTTGAGGTTGTCTCAAATTTATATTGTGACACATATATAATTAGATTAAGCATGATTTACATAGCTCGTAGAGTAATTTGCAACTAATTTCTAAGTTATTGCATCATTCAACTTGGTCCACTTCCACGTTTTATCACATATTTCATTTTCATTTTGTTAGATGAATAATACACGCAAAACATATAGCATTACTTCATATTTCATTTTGTCGGATGAATAATACGTACATAAATATAACATTAATTATCATCATACCATATACTTATATATATTATTTATCCAATAGAAAAAATACAAGAGGAAATGAAACATTGAAATGGAAAATCATTTCACAATTACATATCCATTAATAACTACCTACTCCTTCAATTTATGGCTTCAGCATAATTCTTTTTTACTTTAATTGATAAATTTAAGAATAAATATGTCCACCCAATTAAAGTATAAGAATTAAAAAAACAAATGAAAAAATAAAAATTGCCCACCTAGGATACACAAACCCTCAACACCAATATCATAATTACAACTCCCATAAAAAAGCTAATTTGCCAATTGATAAGGCACAACACAAGGGCTTCAATCAATATCAAACACATTTTCAAGCCTCCCACATAAACCTTAGTCTACCTATAAATCCATTAGAAACTACACATTACCTCACCTTAGAGANAAAAAAAAAAAAAAAAAAAAAAAAGGCAATTGCCACCATGAAGAGCCAAGAGCCTCGGTCGAGCTCCTCTTGCGCGGCCTGCAAGTTCTTGAAAAGAAGGTGCACCTCAAACTGTCAGTTCGCTCCCTACTTCAGAGCCGACGAGCCCAGAAAGTTCGCCAAAGTCCATAAGGTCTTTGGAGCAAGCAACGTGAGCAAAATATTGAATGAAGTCCCAGAGGACAGGCGTGAGGACACTGTGAACTCGCTCGTTTATGAAGCAGAGGTGAGGCTCCAAGACCCAGTCTATGGTTGCATAGGGGCTATAGCCTCTCTGCAGCACAGAATGGTGGAGCTACAGCATGATCTTATACTGGCGCGCGCTCGTCTTGCAGGCTGCGTGGAAAAACTGCCGTCCTCTTTTTGGGAAGACCGTTTTACTAATAGTATCACGACTTTTGGGAATATTCATGGGTCGGCCGATGGTTTTGAGAATAATCCGTTGCCGTTGGATCAATGTGGTGGTCCGTTTCATTATCCGTGATCGATTGTGGTTCGGTTTATGTCCTATGTATTCTTTTCATGTTTTTGTTTTGTTTTGTTTTTTTTTTTTAATTTGTGTGTGGTGCATTTTGTGGTCAAGGGTTTTTGAGAGAGGAATTGCGTGTGTGCTTGAGCATGATTGTGAAAGATTGGTTAAGACTGATATTTCGTATGTTTGTGAGTTTGATAGTTTATCATTTGTTGCTTTTGATTGTGAAAGATCGGTTAAGATTGATATTTCGTTAAAATGATATGTGTGATCGGGACAATCAATTTTGCTGAGTTTATAAGTTTTAGAAAGTAATTTTGTTTTATATATGTGGTTTGAATTATGTGATAGAAATCTATGTGTGTGTACAATATGTCAATATTAGACAATTTTTTGAAGCTTTCAAGTAATTTTTTTTTCTATATATATGCATGAAAAATTGTAGCCCACCTAATTTGGCGTCCCTCGTGTAATTTCCCTCTTTCTTAGCTTCTCCAATTGGTGAAGAACTTTGAATTTTTTTCATTATTTTTTTTAAATAATATATCGCATAGTATATTCCAACAAACTTTCTTATAGACAAACTTTAAAGTAGATTTGCAAATGCGTTTCATAACGCCACATAAAGATACATCAAAAGTAGAGGTCGCCAGTCCACGGGCCGGGGTCACGGCCCGGCCCGGCCCGCCGGGTCCACGGGTCGCAATTTCATGACCCTTGACCAGCCCGCATTTTCTAAGGGCCGGGGGTTTGGACCGGCCCTGAACCGCCGGTTCGCTAAAAAATACATTGTCGCCATCTTTCAACCCGCCGACCCGGTCCGGCCCGACCCGTCGCCGCGACCCTACGGTCCAATTAAACGAACCGGCCCTTAGGAGGGCGGTTCAGGGTCGGTTCGGTCCGGTCCGAGACCGGTTTGCGAATCGGTTCGACCCGTGGACATGTCTAATCAAAAGGAAGAAAAAAAAAAACTTTTTGTGCTGAGTTATTAATATTATTATTATATATATTAAGCGTAGGATGACGTTTTCTAGAGATTATTTCTTAAAAAAGAAATGATTGGGGAAACCTGTATCAATGTTCCAATTGCATGGAATTTTTCAATTCGAGAACAATTTTAATTTACTAAAACATTGTTTTATAAAAAAAATTCAAATCGATTGAGTTTTGTGTGAAGTGTGATCTATGAAGGCTAATGATATTAGTGGGCCGAACACATTACTAATCGGGCCCTGGTTGTCATATCCATGTGTCCTTATATCCTGATTAAGCATGCCAAATTTGGACTTTATGGGATACTCGAAGATAAATCTTTGCAATTGACGATTAAGATATTAAAGAAAAAATAATAAACGTTCTGAAAAAGAACATAATATTGAAAACAAAAACATCAAAAAAAATATAATTAATCAATGATTGTAACCATAGTTTTTAAACCAGGCCCGGAAATCGACTCGGACAGGTTTTCTGGTCACCGGGTCAATTGCTGAACCGAATAATTAATTTTAAAATTTTAAATTTATATATATAGTATTTTTGACATATAAATATACATAAAAGTAACAAAAATACATATTTTGTATATAAAATTTGTACATCAAAGTGTTAATAATATTGTATCACACTATAAATATTTACTATAGAAATATATTACATATATTTTATTTTTTAAATAAAAAAATATATAAGGATCGGGTCAACCAGGTTGACTCGGCCGGGTCAATGACCCGATTCGACTAGGTCAAGGCCGGTTTGGCCGGGTTTTGATCCATTGTTATCCTGTCCGAATAGCCCACCCAAACCGGTTCAGGCTCCGAGTCGACTTGTCGAGCCGATCGCGGTTAAAAAATTATGATTGTAACTCCTTTTCAATTTAGTTTTATGTATCATCTTAAATTTCTACATATATTAATAAGGTACGGTTTTATGTTTCTAATTTAATCTATTCTAGTTAGTTCAATTCGAAGTATCTCAATAAATATTATTTACTTTCCCAATCAAATAATACTTATATTAAAATCATTGTTATGAATAAATAAAGAAGAAATAAGCTATTCAGCATTAATATATTATCATTAAAAATACTCATGCAATGAGTTCCCCCTACGAAAGAAAATATTTATTTAAGTCACCTTGAGTTTTTTCTAACATAATATGAAAATGACAATAATTTTGCTGAGTCATCTTCAGTTAAAAGAAAAGCAAAAATAAAAAACCTTAATTATGTATTATAATTAGGAGTTGGGACATATCATCTTTCTAGGGCCTTCAAAATTCAAAAGGACCTGTGACATGACATGGGCCAATAGAGTTGGGTTTTGCTCCAACTTATATTGATATAGTACTTTTAGCTTATTAAGATTTTTTTTTTCTTTTGTGGCCCAATTTTGAAAGTGCCCCAAAATCGTAATATCTGATTAGAGATCTTAGATGTGACATGACATGAATGTTCCTTTCATTCTAAAATAAGATTATATAGAAGGATGTACTAATTTGAGATTTTGGATAACATTTAAGGCCCAACCTCATGTCTATCGCCTTTTAAAATTTAAGATTTTGGGTACCCTTCTAGGCCCAACCCGACGTCTATGGCCTTTTAAAATTCTATGATTTAGGTGGAATTATTAGAAGTCTCATGCTTGAAGGTGGGATTATTTGATGGAAGATTCTATTAATGTAATTTTATGTTTAAAATTCAAGAAAGTCTTAAAGAGTCCAATTAAATTTAACTACTAAATAAATTGAATACCTGCAACTTGTTTACGTAAGAATCGGCTTCAAAGACCTGCAACGAGATTATAAAAGAATAGATTATCTCCTCCAATCTTCGGGATACGCCTTAGATCCTACCAAATTCAGGTGAGGTCTCTTCAAGATGAACACTTTGACTAATGATGAGGCAACTTTCCCCAAGTTTTTACAGTTTAATCAACATATATTCATGATTATGTGTGTATATGTAATCCAAAGTAGGTAGGGTCGAATTAACTCTTCAATATATAAATTAAATAGATTTGCGTTTCTTATACCCTTGGGACTTCTTTCCTTAAAATGTTTCCCTGACAACATTTTTCGTGCCCTACTGAGATCGATCACTAGACCTATATTACTTGATGCATCATACTTGATATGGGATGCCATATTAGGTCAGCTCCACCCGAGAAGTGGCCTAACCAAGTCAGATGAACTGACAAATCGATCGAAGGTACCTGAGTTTGAAGAGGCATCAGGTCGATGGTGACAACGCAAGTAGATAGGTTTGCCGACAGATCGAGTTAGGGCCATTGGCTGGCCTGGTAGAAACTCAATCTAGAATTACGTAGGTTGACGTATCGACCTAAAGGACAGTGCGCACGAGCAGATCGAGAAGACAATCTAGCTCGAGAGAACCAAGTTGGTCGAATGATTAGACCGTCTAATAAGGCAAATTAATGGATAAAAAAAATATAATTAGGATAAGAACCACACATGGATTGAATCACGTACGTATCCTAACAGAATTGGACAGTTTGGACACTCGGGCAATACGAACGAGCAATGCGGGCATTCGAGCAGCCCATCTGAACATTTTTTAGTAACAAGGTAACACCCCTATATAAAGGGATGAGTATATCCATTTACACACTCTCATATATACTTATAAGCATATATATCTACTGTTCATCGTCTTCTTCGTGACTATAGTCTGACTTGATAATCGGAGTGCTAACGCCAAAAACACTTTTCGACTCATTTTACAGGTCTCTAAACCGGACGTGAGTGGATCCAGGATCGTTCAACCCGAGTTTGCACACCAATATTAACTCGTCAAACATTTGAAGCCCGTAGCTCGAGGCCTTGTCATTCTAGCGAAGGACCTCTAATCTATTTAACCGAGCAATCATCCAAACCGACCCCCTGAATCGGATTTAGAACTGAGCTGATTTATTTGTGTTCATCGTCATGATATAATAATTGAATCCCGTTTTTTTTTTCTACATTATGTATAAAAATAGGCAAATAAAGTTAATTAAATAAAATGAAACAACGGATAGACATAGAGCAGATAGTATTACCATACGAAGATGAGCATAAAAAGCATGTGGAAGACAGAAATATGCATTGGAAATAGTAAAAGCTTGTGGGACCCACGTCAGAATAAAAGAGAGGAAAACTGCAGTGTCCGGCAATGAAATTGTGGTCTGCGGTTCTCTGATGATGATGCTGATTTTTCTTAAGGCAATTTTTTTTTTTTATCTTCTATTGGCAGTAAATTATTTTTACATGCTCATTCACTGTTCACACTAACTAGTTTTACATTCCTGATTACAGTAAAAGTGTGTAGTTGAATTGTTGAAGTTGAAATTCTCTTTTCATTTGAATATTGAAAATACAAGGAAAAATTATGATTTTGATGTGTGGAATAATTAGTAAAAATTAAAATCACTCTGTGCATAGACTCACATATTTTGCAAAGAAAGTATCTGATTGACTTAATTTTTTATTTATTTATTTATTTTTATCCAAAGGCTGTGGATCAACAATATGAGTTTATTACTCGAGAAGTAGCAAAATCAGAATGCATTAATATTCACATATCTCCCTTCTTAAAATCCACATATCTCCCTGTATCAAATAAAGTTTTCATTAATCTGGAGCTCATTATACTATTTGATATTACGGCTCCTTAAAATCCACATATCTCCCTGTAATTTTTTTCTTTTCTTTTCACATTTTCGTATATTCTGTTTCTATTTTAAATAATTAAGCAAAAAGTTGTAGTATAATAATAAAGTCAAAATCTCAATAGACGATATATACGAGCGTGTTGAACATTAAAGTAAGTAGTATAAATTGAAACATCAAATTTCGAGGTAATCATGCTCCTTTCCCATATTAATTAAAATTAACAAGTTGGCATAAATAAATAAATAAAAAAATCCGACTCTTTAAGAGAAGTTTTAATTACACAATACTAAAAACATTAATATTCCTTAATTATAAAATACATATTAGAAGATGGACAGGGATATAGATGCTAATAATATTTCATACTTTCTTAAAGTATCATATGAGACGCATGAAAGGGTGACGAGAATCGAATAAGCTATCCGAACCGAAAATAACAAGTTAGGTACGGTTCTTCAAAACATTGTGCCATATTTTAACGGTTCAGCTCTTAATGTTTATAAACCCTTCGCATTCTCCTCACCTTTTTTATCGACATACAAATCTATATCTATATTTATATATATATATATAATAAGAATTAACATTTACTAAAAATAGTAGCAAAAAAATTGATTAGAATTTAATGCAGCCTATAAATTGTAAGTTTTATTATTTTTTTTATTTTTTTTTTTGTAAAATCATACAACATTAAATGATACTTTAAATTCCGGGCTTTAGTTCGTAGAAACAATACACAATATTAAAATCTCGGACTCTATATTTATAAAATCTCAATTCAAAATATAACAAAAGTTTTAAAATCTCGGTCTTTATATTTGTGCCTTTAGAAAAATATTGAATGCTAAAAATATTCTTTAAATTGCATAATCAATCAATTAACCTTAATTTTTTGAAAATTACTATGTTTATTTTTTTATTAATATGCATAAAGTAAAATAATTAATTCATCTTTAGATATATAATTTATAATTTTAATATACTATCATTTGTTGTAGACATTTATTATATGAATCATAAAATATTTTTATTTCATAAAATTAAATATATTTAAGGAAAATAAGAAAAATTTTCGGATCGGATGATTGAATTAGGGAACTGCTCAGGTTGATTGAATTACTTTTAGGTGATATTTAAAATAATCAAAAAACTTGACACAACTTGGTTGTCTCAGATGGCTAAGTTATGTATCAGTTCGACCACACCAAATCGATGATTGAACCTAAATATAAATTTTATATTGAAAATATTTTATTACGTGAATGTGACGTAGTTCAAACTACACATAATTGTATTAACAATACTTTTATGACAACATGTTTAATGATTTATGAGTATTTATATATTAATTTATTAATATTTATGTGAATTAAATAATATTTTATTATAATATTTATTAATGTACAGCTAATATAAGGTTTTCATAATTGGACCGTCATCGAAACGATCAAGCTACTTTATTAAATCATTTGTGGTTTGTTCAGATTTTAATTTATAAACATTTTAATATAAATATAGTACTTTTTGTAATAAATTTAAATAAAATGTGTTACTTAGATATCTAAACAATTTATAAATTCAAATGTTTAAACTAATTGATAAATAATTTATAAATCTCTATTTTATTTAAAATAATTTTAAATATAACAAAATTTACTTGCAAAATCGTATCGATCCTACGAGTCCAACCGACTGGACGGATTCGAGAGCAAACACTTTATTCAAACGAACTAGACTGGTTATAAATAGGTTCTCGGTCCATACGGTTGGACTGTGTGCAACCCGATTTAATTTAAAAATAATGGATAAATCATGATTAATGTTATTTATATATTTAATTTATAATACAATCGTAATATTTTTTTCCCGTACATCGCACGGGCCACGCACAAGTTAATTGAAGAAAACACCTAACCCCATGGAACACGAACCCATAAATTAGCCATGATCCACATTAAACTATTAATATTACATTAAATAATGTTCAAATCATATAAAAAAATCTCTGCATTATAATTAATACAGTATATACTCCCTCCTATTTATAATAAGTGTCGTTTTACAAAGTTGCACAGTAATTAAGAATATTTTTTTTACCAATAATAACCCTCTTTAATGAAGATAGAGAATGATGTGTTAGGAAAAAAATGAAAAGTGAATATGAAAAGACGTAGTGTATTTATTAGCTAAATAAGGGTAATAATGAAAAAATATGTACAAAAGATTTAAAATGACATTTATTTTGTTAATAGTTAATAAAATCAAAATGACATTTAAAAAGAATAGGAGGTAGTATATCTATATAATTGTCAGCTATTCAAATAATAGATTGCATTATAATTAAGATCATATCCTTAAATTGTGAGTTGTGAATATTGTCTTTATGTGTTTTTAATAGATTGCAGTCATTTAGCAAGTATTATCCATATATCGTTTGACTTTCTTCTTCTTATTATTATTATTATTATTATTATTATTATTATTATTATTATTATTATTATTTTGAGTTGAACAAGAGCCTTGTAATGAATCGAGCCGAGCTCACGAGCAGTTCGTTTAATTTAACAGCTCTACCTACGAGATAAGAGATCCTCGTATTTTTAACGCTCAATGATTAATCTTTTGTAAGTGATAGTAAGAATTTTTTGTTGTAACCTCAGAATTGTCTAATCGATACTTTGAGCTCAGCATTGTTGTACCATTGAATAGGGAATTCTCTTAACCCGGTTCAAAATTTTCCGATTATTTAACAAACCTCGTCACATTAGTTATCATGACTGATTCATATATTTAAATTAATGCTCACTTTTCATGGTTATTATAGTATTTAAATAAAACATTTAATTTGATAAAAGACGTAATTTTCACATCAAAATAGAAAATATTTATATACAGATCTATTCTAATTCTAAACAGGTAAAAAGAGTTAGCCCGGCATATTTCATCTTTAAAAAAAAAGTTATATTATATTTTTGGACCTATATTTTTACAAACCCGTGTCAATAAATATATGGTAAGAGGCGACGTGTCTCCTATTCGACGTTCTCGAAGAAAGCAACAAATTTACTTCTAAATAAATACTGCTCAACAGCTTTTCCTTCTCATGAAGTATTTTCTGTGCTATCTTTAATGTTCGATATCACCAGACCAGCAGACCTTGATCATTTCCAAGCAGCTAATGTTACAAGTTATAAAATCTAATTTACTTAGAAATAAATATGGAATTATTTTTGGCATGACCAGATATTAAGTAAACCTTCACATACAATTTTAGTAAGAATTAATAAGATGTAATTAAATGTGATAAAATACTGGTCATGATATAAGTCGTCAATTTGGTGCTTATTGGCCTATTGCTAGAATAGTTAAAACGAAATGAGCCGCTCGTAAGTTCAACTCGTTTAAGTTCGAGTTCGTCTTGACTTGTTTGATAAACGAACCAAGTTAAAACTCGTTAAAATCTCATTTAATTAAAGCTAAAAAATTAAATTTTATACATTATTTTTATAATTCGGTTTGTTCGAGCGCAATCCATCCAATTCTAAGGAAGCTTATGTTTCCAAGGAAGCTTGCGCTTACATTTCTAAACTGCACTGGAACTTAAGATTTTAGTTTTGTTTCAGCTTTATTTTGTGTTGAATTTTTACTACGAAAGGTATATATATTTGATTGATCTAATATATTAAAATTTGAATTTTATGTTAAATTATGATTATTTATTTTAGTATATATACAACACATTACAACAATAGCTACAATTTCTGTTAAAAAAAAATTATATTTCAAATGGTGAAACAGTGTCTTCACTCCGAAAAAACTACCCATTTACTAGAATACCTACACAAAATTTATAAATTTGAACAACAAATACAACTACACATCATAAATATAAAAATAACACTAGACAAGTATTTGTATATATAGCATTAGTAAATATATATCAACAAATATAGTTTGTTGGTAAACACCTGGAAATTACCTACAAATTCCCTATAAATAAGATTTACCTACAAATTTTTCTCTATGTATTTACTCAGGTAAATGGTAGAGATTGCCTACAATATATTTTCCTACAAATTTTCTCTAGACATTTATCTACAAATAATATTGGTAAATACCTCAAGATTACCTACAAATTTCCTATATCACGTGCAAGAACATTTTCCTACAAATATTTCTTTAAGTATTTACCTACAAACATATTTTGTAGGTAATAAATGTCTAGAGATTTTATCGTTCAATAAACTTATTGAACAAAAAAATCTCAAATTTTGAATTATTGCTCGAGCTTCACGAGCCAAGATTTTTAAGGCACCACTCAACTCTATAAAATATACAAATGATCTCTACTCAAATTTCCTCAAGTTCGGCTCAAAATTTTGATAGATGTTTAGTTCAAGTAATTTCTTTTTTTCTCTTTTTCAAATTTGGCGGCTAAATTTCACTTTTAGTACACTATGTTGGTCATTTTTTGAAAATGGTCCATCATATAGGGTATCTTCAAGAATGGTCCACTAAGTTTTCATTTTAATCAAAACTCGTACAAAAGTCAACATAATGTACTTAATATGATAACTAAAAATGATCACTTTTAGTACACTATGTTAGTTATTATTCAAATTTTGATTAAATTGGTAACTTAGTAGACCATTCTTGATGACACTCTATATGATGGACATTTTTCAAAAATTAGCCAACATAGTGGACCATTTTCGAAATTTTGCCAAATTTGGCTGCCAATCAGCTTTCAAGATTAGCTCAAATTTAACTTGCATTAAAGACGTTTAATTAGATAAATTATGCCTATGTTCGAACAACTCATGGAACATTCAGATGTATGAAACAGCTTGTGAAACTCAAGTTGAACTCGAATTTGGCTCGTAGGCTGCAAACGAGTCGAGTCAAGCATGGACCTTGTCGAACGCATATCCGACTTTTTTCTTTACAGCTCGAGCTCGACGAACTAAGTAAAATGCTGCTAGACTCGTCTCGTTAGAAAAATAAAAATGCTTGAGCTCGACTCGATGATTGAGATCGACTGATGCTCGACGTGGCTCGTTCAACTTGAAATTTTAACAATTGAAATTTAAATAAGAATGCACTATTTTTAATCTAAATTAAAGATTTGGACTTGGTGATCTAATGTTGATAATTAAACTATATAGGGTATTTATGTAAATAAAAAGTCAAACGGCTCGTCAAACTTACAAACGTCTTGAAACGATGCTCGAGGCTCGACCTATTCAGTCAATTGAGCTGCTCGAGTTTCACTCGAATTCGAGCCCAACATTGACTCGAACGCTCGCGAGCGACTCGTGAATAGAGTGTTGACTAAACCGATTGATGTTGCCCTAAGTGCATAATGAGGAACCAACTTTTGTATTGTAGGTTTTATCCGAACTCTGCCAACATAAGGCGAGAAGGAAAAAACCCCCAAAAAAAAAGGAAAAGAAAAAGAAAAAGAAAGAAAGAAAAGAGAAAAGCAACAAACAAAAGAAACCCCAACTTATAATAACCAACTTGTGCGTATAAATACACATGCAAATACACACACTATACACATAGGCACACGACCACCGCCCTTCTCCACCATTTACACATCAACCCACCTTCAAAAACACAGTCACGGTTCAATTGGNACTCCAAAATGTAAAAACAGAGCGAGAAAAAGATCACACACCATTCTCTCTTATCTCTCTACTTGTATTTAATTTTAATTAAAATAATTTATCCACCTCCCCAAACAGCCACTCACCATGAGCGGTTCTGCACCACCAGACCCTAAAAACCACCACAATCCCACCACCCCAGACGACCAGAACGCCACCGCCGCCGCCGGAGCTTCCTCCAGCCCCGTCGCCGACGGAAAGAGGCCCAGGTCCCGCGGCGGACCGGACAACTCCAAGTTCCGGTACCGCGGCGTCCGCCAGCGGAGCTGGGGCAAGTGGGTCGCCGAGATCCGTGAACCCCGCCGCCGCACGCGCCGTTGGCTCGGCACCTTCGCCACCGCGGAGGAAGCCGCCCGGGCCTACGACCGCGCCGCCATCGTCCTGTACGGCCCCAGGGCCCAGCTCAACCTCACCACGCCCGAAGAGGCCGCCGCCGCCGCCGCCGTGCCCCACGTCTCCGGATCCGGCGCCTCCTCCTCGTCTGCTGCGCCGCCGCAGAGCCTCCGCCCGCTGCTGCCGCGGCCGCCGGGGTTCGGGCTCACGTTCCCATCCCCGCCAAGCGGCTGCCCCCAGTACGGGTTGTACCCCGCCGTACAACACCACAACGCCGGCCTCGAGCCGAACGTGAGCGCCTTTGAACAGCAGCTGTACGGAGCGAGTGATGTCAACATGGGGAGTGAAAATCCACTGGATGACGTCAGCGCTAGGGCACAATTTGACACAACCTCGTATTATCCAAACCCTAATGTTGACAACGGCGAGAAGGATAGAATCGCGGCCGATTTTCTCAACCTGCAGGACAATAATAACTTCGGATCGGTCGGGTTTGACGAGAATATTGGCTCCTTCGGGTCGTGCGCCTCCGCCGAGATGGTGGCGCCGCCGCCGCCGCCGGTGACCGATCCGGCGGCCGCTATGTTCAGCGGTTACGTGTCCTCCCCGTCGTGGCCCCTCGCCGGAGAAGATGATTACACGACGCCTGGCCTCTGGGACTATGGGGATCCGTTTTTGTTTGATAGCGATATTTGAAAATTAAGTTAGGGTTTTTTATATGATAAATAAGCAATGTTTGGAGACTATATTTGAAAAATGTTGTACTGTTGTATGAACAAGTTGTGTACTATTAGCATATCGAATATTGTTGTATGAACAAGTTTAGTACTGTTAACATATATAATATAAATTTTCACACGCGGTTTTATGATTATAAGGGGGAGAAGTGCATATCAGTCCTTCACCTTTTGGTTATCACCAGGTTTGTTCATGTTTGCTTAAGAAGAATGAATCGTGTTTCCTCGTTTTTACCTTCATTGCTTTTTCTTTATATTAATTTTCAGACTATAAACCTTCTGTTTTTTATTTTTATGCATTTGAGTTTGTTCATGTTTTTATTCATCTGGGTTTTGTTCGTGTTCCCTTCAGAAGAATGAATCATGTTTCCTTGCTTTTAACTTCATTGCCTTTTTTTGTTCGTCTTTCCTTCGGAAGAATGAATCATGTTTCCTTGCTTTTAACTTCATTACCTTTTTTATATTAATTCTCAGACTATAGATTTTTTGTTTTCTTTTTATTCATCTTCATGGTCAAGCTTGTTATTTTCACTTTGTCAAAATTATTGTTCAATAAGAAAATATTGCCTTGAAAGTTGGACTTTTGAAATTTTTTTTGAAAATGTGGATTGGATCATTATAGCTTTCTTTGTGCTTGGGAAATTGGAAATATGTATTGGCTAGCTTTCTTCTAGTTGGGAATTTCTAAAAAACCTAAATTGTTGGACAGATATTAGAATTTCCTTGAATAATGTTGGACAAATATTAGAATTGGACTGAAATATGTATTAGCTTTCTTTGTGCTTAGAAATTTCTAGAATATTTTACACGGTTAGATAAATATTAGAACTGATGAAATAAAGTTAGAAAATCTACACTGTTGGATAAATATTAGAATTGAAGAAAAAAAGTTTTAGAATTTATAGAAAACCGTTAGATAAATATTAGGATTGGATGAAAAATTATTGAGAATTCCAAAAAAAAAAACCCTGTAATATTAGAATTGGAGGAAGAAAGTTCGAGAGTGAGATAAAAAATTAGAATTGCATTACATAGATAATTTATGGAAAACTTGGATAAATATTAGAATTTAAGTAAAATACTTATTAGAAAACCCTATAAATATTATAATAGGATAAAAGTAGTTTGAAGGTGGATATGAGATATATGTCAAACATAGCATGCCAATAAAATGCTTGCGTTAAAATTTACGTTCTAAGTTTCTAATGGGTCATATCGTTCTAACTCTCTTATTCGTTATATTTTTAATAATATCTAGCCAATAAAATGCTTGCGTTAAAATTTACGTTCTAAGTTTCTAATTGGTCATATCGTTCTAACTCTCTTATTCGTTATATTTTTAATAATATCTAGTTCTAACTTTTGATTCGTCGCCACATTTTAATAAAATAATGAAAAGAGAGAATTTGAGCGGAAACTATTCTAACGTTTGATTCGTCAAATTTTTAATAGTATTGCAAAGTGCGGCTCCAGATTTTAAGGAGTTCGGGTGTTCACCGTTCTCATTCGTTACATTTTTTAAATATATTGTTTTAACTTGTGATTTATGGATAATTTTAAGACTGCATATTTATAATAGTGTTAATGATATATTTATATATTTAGTACTATATTGTTATATAGTATAATTTTTTTTAATAATATCTAATATTCTTTTTATAAACGGTCCAGATATTTTGAATAATATCTCATAATCATATTTTTTAATAACATCTCTCATATTATAGAGTACAAATGCATATTTATTTAAAAAAAAAACATAATCATGTTTTTCTAATAATACCATATATTAATGCATTGATGTCTATTGGAAAAATAGTCTTTCACAAAATAAGTTCTACTACAAATATATTTTTTTGTCCTAAAGTTTGCAATATCATCAATATTATTGTAATTCCAAAAATAAACTAGAGTTGAAAAATACATGTTTTTATATATGCCTTCGCAGACTCTATCTGTCTAGAACAATTAATTATTCTCGTGTCTAGATAAAACAATCAAAATGAACATGATAAAATAGAAATATTAATTACTCGATCGATATATTCAAAAATCAAAATAGCAAGTGAACATGAAAAAATCAGAAAGAAACTTGGTACCATGATGAAAGTGGTGCTTATAGTGCGTGGAGTTATTTTATCTGTGGACTAATGCTTTAATTCATTGATCTGATTTCATGCGGAATTGGGCTGTAATGGGAGCTTTTAATGCGGATAATTCACATCCAATATGCTCTGATGATCAAATTCAAATAGGGTCGTAGTTCAAATTTTGGGATTATAACATTATATAATATATGAATGTGTTTGGCCACATGCTCCCACAGCCACAGGATTCTATTTGACATTTTTTCATACTTTTGTCATTTGAGTTGAATAAATATAAACTTACTTACAATAAAATTAATAACTAGAGTTGGAATAAACATAAATATATGGGATATTTGAATATTATTTCCTATTATAGAAGTGGCTTATAAGACATAAAATTTTTATCTGATCTTTCTTTTTTTCTTAGTCATTCTTTAAAAATTATAAAAAATTTAGTAACTTAAATTATAACTATACTATAAAAGGTACTAATTTTTTTATGTTTAATATATCAAATTAATCATCCTTTGCTAAGTTTCGATTTGACATATGTATTGTAGATACATAATAAATAAATAATTATATCTACATTTATAATAAAAATTAAATTATATATTATTATTATTTATAAAAAATAAATTATTTAAATTAATTTAACTAAAACATAGATATATGATATAAGTTAAAAAAAACTGTTATAATATAAGATAAGTAAGTCATGTAAGTGATATTTATCATTTTAAATATAAATAATAATAAAAAGTATTTAAAATTCAAAATAGTTTTTTTCTTTATTTTTCAATTTTAATTTTTAAGTATAATTTTTTTAACAATCGCATGTGTAATACACGTGTATTGTACTATTATCTAAATATTCACAAATTATTATGGTACAGTAGATCGACCTTTCATATTTTAGCAAAACTACATTCTTATGTTATAAAATAATATATTTCTATTTATATTGTTTTCTAGAATTTGTCATTTCAAGTTAAAAGTATGTTTATCGAGTTAAAAAAGTATCAGCACTTTCAAAGTAGTTTATATTTTTATCCCAAAACGATTACTTTTATTAAAGCATTTAATATAAAACAATTAATTGCATTGACCCACCAAATGTTTATTAATTGCTTTTCATTTTTCCAAACAATAATTACTGTATTTTATGAATTATCATGTTTTCTTATTCCACCTATATCGATGAGAGTATGGCCTGTTTAATATAATTGGCAGGCCCCACATTCACAAGTAAAATAGACGAAATTGCACCCCTTACTTCAGCATTGTAATTATATTATAATTATATTTTTATTATATAAATATTTATATAATTATCAAACTAAGCCTAAAATATTGCTAATATACCTAAGTAGTGACGGTTTAAATTATACTCAGATAATTAATGTGAGTTACTGATATTACGGGTGAAGATTTCTCTCTCCCTCTCCGTCTCGCTCTCTGGCTCTCTCCCCCCTCTCGCAATTCTCTCGCTCTCTCTTCCTCTCTCATCTTCGTCTCTCTCCCTCTCCGTTTGGAATGGTTTTGTTGTTTTCTTCGAACTCAATATTCTGGGAATTGAGGTCCCCAAACACTCCCCACCGTCGTCGTTGCCACTGAGGTTGTCCGCCGAAATTCGCGCGGCCAAGAGCCGCTGCCGCTGGCCGACTGTTATTAATAGAAAAAAAAAAAATTGGGATTGAAGCCGTGAAGCTGCTGCCGGAGATTGAAGCCCGTCTTCGATCTCTCGTCCTCGACGGTGAAACCGCTGCCGGCCAGGGCTCGCGAGTCCGCCATTAATACATTTTGAGTGACAATATATATCTATAAGTACATATAAGTACATATACCAACATGTGTATGGGTTAATTTTTGTATGTATATAAAATATATGTTCCATTTTCTTGGGTTATATTTTAGGTATATATACTGAGATTATGCGTTATATATTCAGTATATATACTTAATATTGTACATAAACTAAAAATATAGACCTATTTGTTTTAGGTATAGACCAATGTTTTAGGTATCATACTTATTTTATGTTTTTAGGTATATATATGTACATAGACAAAAAATATACATACTGAACATAAACCAAATAATATATTGTTGAACATAAACCAAAAATACACTGAACATAAAGATAAAATATACTGAACATAAACAAAAAATATACTTATACTGCACAATAAAAATAATCTGCTGAACATAAACCAAAAATATTAAAACTACGCAGTTTATTTCCATGAACAAATACCAAAATATACTGCACATATACCTTCACCTGTTCAACATTTTATGAAATAATCATTAATTTGAAAACTATTAGTATTGTACATAGCAGCACTACGACTCTCATTGAAAGCTTGCGGCTTCGGTAATGGAGGGTTAGCCAGAAAAAAAACAACGACACAAGAATCGGGATGAGCGGCCCAAAGATCTGTCCCAAATGAGTACCAAATCAGTTCATCAATTGGTCAACAGCGGTCTGACGGGATCCGTCGGGCTCTGGCGGTGGAGGTTGGGCGCTGTCAGCTCAAGGGGAAGCGATTCGTACGGCGACGGCGTGCTTTGAGTCGGCTGTGGAGATGGCGATTGCTTTTCGCACTTCCTCGGGCTACTTGCGGGCTCGCGTGAAGGCTATCAGAGATGTTCGAAGACGCCGGCATTTTTTTTTTTCTTTTTTCTGGTGCGCCTGTCAATGAAGAGCGACGCCGGCGTATTTTTTTTTTCTTCTGTATCAATGAAGATTATCTTTCCATCTTCACTCCTAAAATCTTGCGCCACAAACATGGAATGGTTGTTCCACTATCTGTAACTGATTTTAGGTATAATTGTTATTAATTTTTACCTATTAGGTATACACACAATTAAATTGGTATGAAGTGTAATGTTGCAATTACTTTAAAATTGTGTAGCATGCTTAAAAATTTCTCAATAAAATACAGATCAGCTCTACTACTATGTCCTTGGTGGGCCTATCTTTAGATCCATTAATATTGAAGACTTAAGCCCTTGTATTACTGGGCCTGAGAAGAGATCGTAAGTTATGCACAGTCTCTCAGTCCCCATCTCCCATATCCTTGATGCTTGGATATATGATAC